ATCTTTACACGCTCAATCTCAACCTGAGTCTGACAATGTCCATCAACCAGCAGCATTAAACACAGAGTCAATAACCCTGAAAATAAACGCCTGGCATTCTATTGCCGACCCGAATGCTGTAGAAAGAAATGACGGCATTGGTACCGGACAATTACACCGCAGGGGAAGAAATTATAAACCTGTTGATGAGGCGACCGTATTAGCGATACAACAGAAAGGAAAAAGTTCTGTCAAGAAACCAAAGAAACAGTTTGAAGATAATTTCGTGCCGCCCACTTCTTCAACCATGAGACCTATACAAAAGAGTTTAAGTAGAACAAAACCATTACCAAGACCTGGTCCTCATAAACTCCCTAATAATCCTTTTGCCACTAACACATCCACATCTCCTTCCTCATCCACATCTCTTTCATCATCTGCGCCGCACAAGCCACACCCCGTGAAACCAGAAGCGCGAACGACCGTCAATCAACAGCAACGAGAAAAGACACCGTCACCATTGCCTCCACCATCGCAGCAACAACAACCACAGTCAACATGGGCACCTTCTCAAGTACCTGGCCGAGAAAAATGGAATGCTCCAAGTTTGGCTACCACTCCTTTCTGGGAAATGCCTCAAACAAATAATTCACAACCTGCTGCAAAATCAACACAGTATCAACAGTCACAATCTTATCGTCATCCATCACCTGCTCGTTCACCACGGCCGTCAAAATATTCGCAGGATTTCTTACCATATATCCCACCAGAGTTCGATTCAACCCCGTACCGAAAGCAATCGTCACCTTCACCTGCTCGTGGTTATTCACCCGCTCGTGGTTATTCACCTGCTCGTAGTTATTCAAATGGTTACATAGATGAACCGCCTGAATACGAACGAGAAAGTAATTTCGACGATCAAGAAGATTATGAACAAAATAGTGACTTCGATGACGAAAATAACGCGTATTACGAGGAAGATGAGAGTTATTCTGAAAAAGAAGGATATGAGTCGGCATCTGTATTACTCGATGATGAGCCTATTTCACGTCCTCTTCCACTTCCACTTGTTCCAACCCCATTATCTCCAAAACGCCCCGATCAGCATGATCGCGGTTATCATCTTCTCACTATAAATGTGGAACTTTCAGAGTCAGAGCCACCTCAAACCATCGTTGTTCACGTGAATGACGATCCTGCGGTTTTGGCTAAAGAATTTTGTAATAAGTGGAAGGTAACTAATGAGGTTGTAGAACCTGCACTAATCCAGTTAATTAAAGATGAAAAAGATAAACGCCTTGGATGATAGAGTTTAGAACCGGGTTATTGTCAACCGGGCCACCTGTGTCAAAATGGCTCAACCGTACCATCATTAACTTGCGTTCACTAGTAATAAGGTTGGTCAAAAATTTACAACTCGGGTCAAAACGGTTGAATATGTAACCTCTAAAAATCTGTCACTATTATACAGAAAACATATCAAAATTTAACACATTATTATTATATTGTGAATAAACACCCTTTTTTTCTTACTAATTTATCTAAATGTTCAATCCCACTAATTTACAAACTTTTGGAACTACTATACGGGCAATCTTCATTATTATTTTTCTTGCTTTGCTAATATGTAATTCACTGTTCGACGTTCGATAGTACCCGGGAATTCGTAGCGCTGGGGTTCGGGTCATGTAACGTGATCGCGTTGTGATCGTCGAGATTGATGCATAAAATTAATTAAAAGTCTAATATGTACGTACTCGTAACGCTGCATATAGTACCATGCGTGACAAATAATTCAGATCAATTTTAGATCAATTTTTTAAAATATCGATATTATTTATACAATTATTTGATTTAAAATACGTGTGATTACTATTTAAAAACTAGTGTCACACTGGGCACTATAAGCAAACCTAGCATCGCCCACAAAAAATGTAGCTGATGTTATAAATTTATCATATGATAACGCTCATTGCATGAATTATCAATCATAAGCTATTCATAGCGATAATACAAGCAATGAGTGAAAAAAAAAGGAAAACAATTGGCGACTTGAAAAGTGCCGTAATAAACAGGAAAGATCAAATACAAGTCCAAAAAACTGAACACATATAAATCGGCCATATATATTTCAGTTGGGGATATTTCCATATTTGGATAGTGATGATCGCACCATTTATGGTATAGGATCGCCGATCAGATGATTCTAGAATC